CATTCTCAAGGGCCCCTTCAATGACAGTTACTTTATCCTGTATTGCCATGTCTTCAGAGACAGTATCTTCCAAAACATCTTTGGTTTTCTTCATCTTAGATGCCTCAGAGATGTTGATACTAGAATCAGTGTCTGGATTCGGTAGAGGTTCCAAATCTGGCAAAGAATCAGAAAGTGAGTCATCCAAAGATTCATTATTGGGGCTATGTTTAACTTTTTCACAAATTCTCTCAACTTTAACACTAAAGGCATAAGAGTGCTTCTGAACAGGCAGTGGTGGAAACTCATCATCGCTCGGGTAGGGAGACTCACCCAGGGTGGGGAACCCAAGAGACTCCCGAGAATCGTTTTGCAGAGCAGGAGTCTTCCGGCCGGCCGTATCGGCGCGGCCGTTTACCACAGCTAGTTGGTCGCTGGCGACCTCCACGGAGTCATTGCTGTCTTCCCCGAACAATTCCAAATGTCTTTTGTGCTTATTGAGCTTCACACCCTTTTTATTTCGGCTTTTGTATTTCCCTTTCTGTTTCTTGTCTTTCTTTGACTTGTGCTTTTTAAAGTTTAAGTTTTCGCCATGTCCGCTCTGGGCCTCATTCCTTAATCTATTTGAGCAAGAATATTCTTTATTAGGTCCATTTCCTCTTAGCGTCAACACTATTTTTGGGATCCCATTCTCCTTATTACACTCTTGCTTTTCTTGGCTGAGTGGTGGTTGTTTGTGTGCCTTTGACCGGATCCTGAACTTAATCTTCACAGGTCCCTTGCTTGAATCCATTTTATTTCTCATTTGTTCTTCATCTTTATCACAGCTTTGATCCACCTCATCGTCCGTTTTTGCAATCACATGGTCCTTTTCATTATTACTATCACTGATTTTGGTCTTTTCACCATCTTTGGAAAGTTCATCTCGCGTGTCTGCCATCAGTCTTTCTTCAGCGTTTAAAGAGGATTCTACCTCATGATTGTCTACTGAAGTTTCTCCATTTCCATAAGTCTCTCCCTCAGAAATCGGCGGTAAGTGACTGGGGTTTATTTGCTCATTCTCAAATTCGACATTTTTTTCCACGTCACTTCCGATAACTACTTTTGCATCAGCCTGCTCCGCACTACTGTAATGGCTTGAAGGTGATTCATGGCCTATTCCTGGTGCTGATGAGTACTGGGCATCTGTTATAGGGCCTGCCTCTGGTATATGTTCATCAATTTTTGGTAATGATTCTTGGTTATTCCCTAATATTCCTGTTTCAGTGTGTTTTCGGTCTAAAGGAGGTTCATCATGTATTGATATGGATTCATTTTCGTCGACCGGAGACGACTCATGGACTGGCGTTGGTTCACATTCTGGCTGACATGGCACTCCGAGTCTTTCGCCAGTTATTGTTTCATGCATTTGCGAAGATTTAGATCCCGTGCACGAGGCTGGTTCATTACCTTCATCCGATACTGTTTCGTCCACTAACGAAGGCTCATTCTGCGAGTCTTTCAATATCTCCCCAAGTGACTGGGCCTCTGGGCTACACGACGTCCGGCTGAGCTGAGTGTCACGTGTGACTGCCTCTGTGTCACGCAAAGGGTCAGAGTGAGCATCGAGCACGGGCTTCCCCGCAAGGTCATCGGCCGGCGTGACGGGCCACGTTTCGTGCGCGCACACAGCCTCAGCGTAAAGGTCGGGCGTCCTGCGATCTTCGGGCGGAGCGGGCGAAGGAGAACGAGACAAATGAGGTGAATAATCTGACGCTGTAGGAGACGGAGGAGAGTCGGCATGCGACGGGGGGGAGGCGGGGGAGGTGGGCGAGGATGGAAGGGTTCTAGGGGAGTAAGGGGAGGAGGGGCGGCTGCCTAAATGAGGGGGCAATCCAGGCGGCAAAAGCGATGTCTTGAGTCGGAGGGAAGGCAGGGAGGGCAGAGACTCCGGAAGGGGGGGGCACCGAGCTTGGGAGAGGAGGGGTGGGAGGGAGAGGGCGGGGGGAGGGTGGGAGCGGGGAGGGGAAGGGGGGAGTGGGGAGCTGGAGAGGTCGGTATTGGAGGTGTACATTTGTGGCGAGGCGAGAGGGGTGCGCCGGGGAAGGGCGGGGGTGAGGGGAAGGTCGTGGGTGAGGAAGTGGTGAAACGGGAGCTGGGCGGCAGGGGAGGGTTTGCGGCCTGATTTGATGGGTGATAACTGGCCGTCTGTATGGACTGACGCCTATATGGCAACTGGCCAGGATGGGGTCTGGGGGAGGCGAAGCATATGCTGCAGATGAGGGTAAGTGAGGGGACACAGGTGTTCCCGCAGGTGTGAGGCCGTGCGGTGTGTCTGACTGCGAGACTGCTTCAGGCACACTTGTTTCTCTGGGGAGACATGCGCGTCCTCTTTTCGAAGATTTGGTTGCTGAGACACCGGACGTTGAGGGGCGTCCGCAGCTAGACGAGGTGACTGACGGTGAGCACGTCCTTGGCGGAGTGGGGGAGGGGGGAGGGGTGGAGGTAGGCCTATGGGAGGAGGTGAGAGAAGAACTGGATG